CAGCACACCCTCCTTCCCTTTATGCATCGGCCTTCTTCACAGTTCTCCAAACAAAGCGTGCAAAGCTTGAGCGTGTAAACAACTTGTCCGCGGTCTAACGCGTTTCGAATTGTTGGACAAGAGTCGGAATAGTGCGCTGCTCGCGCACCGCAGAAAGGTGCAGCTGCGCCATGGTTCGACACCTTCCGAGTACTGCGTGTATCGGCGATAGGGGAAGGAGTTGAGAGCATTTTCCATCCTTTCTAACACTTGCTTCTTTGCTTCGTATTCTTTGAGAAACTTGACATCGGCTCTCTTCTCGTGCTCCTTCGAAGGCTTGCTCGTGTCCTTGCTTGCTTCGCCAACGTTCTGGGCTGGGTTTTCGCCGTCCTGGTTCTCTTTAATCAGCCTCAGGAGGTAATCTTCATCCGAAATTTCCATGTCACTCTGATAAGGCTTTTCTTTGATCTCGTCCTGGTGTGACATCTGTTCCGATTTGGCCATCTGTTGCTCCAACATTGAGATTATCGCCTTCAGTGAAGTGACTTCCTCTTCATGCTGTTGTAGAAGCTGCTGTACTTGAGGTGAAGGCTCTTCTTCTTCCATCCGTTGACATTCTTCCCTCAAAACTTGTTCCATCGTTTCCTGTATCTCTTCTGCCTGTTCTATAGCTGCCATCAGGAGTCGGAGTTCGTCTTCTATTAACTTGTTCACTGCTCCGATCTTGCGGGCTCCGTTTTCCCCCGCCAGCCAGTCTTCATATCGGATTGATAACAGGCCTCCATTATTTGCTTGCTGTGCATAAATACGCTCGGTTAAAATATATCTTGTTCCTAGGCGTAGAAGCGCCTCCTTCACAGAAACTGTAGAGCGTACGAACTTGCTGAGGTGGAGAAACCTGTCACCGATGTCGTCTCTTCTTTTGGGGTCAACTGCCGTCAAGAAGTTGAAGTGCCTTCTTTTACTTGCCGAAGTTGAGGTGAGCTCCTTTATTTCGTTGAGGCATGTCTCTAGTTCGTCTTCTGT